TATTTGATTTTGAAACTATAAAATAAAATAATGGAGTATTTACAAGCTCATTTTTCACAACAATTTTTTTTTTACAAAATTCCAAGAAAATAAGAAATCCTTCATTGATTTCCTTTAGTAAAATGATTGCTAATTTGTCTACACAGTAGAGATGGAAGGGGTAAAGTGTCTATTTACAGATACGGGGAAACTGATTTCCTCCCTCTTGTGCAGTAAGACAGGAAGTGGCCGACAAGGTGTTTTATAGCATCAACCGAGGTATCTTCCTAATGATACAGAATTAGGATTGAAGATCATTCACCAAGTCTCAAAAGGGGATATGACATGGGGTATAACTGTGATGTATCAGCAAATGAGTAGCTCATAGCAATTCTGCTCAATTGTTTTTTCTGAAATAAGAGATAGTAAGCCAACAGGGATAATTCGCTCTTTGGGCCATTTGAGAAGGTAATTACAAAAAGGACTAGAGTACTTTTTGGGCAGAAATTCAACTGCTCCAATGGAGATGGGATAAAGATTTTTAAAGCAAACAACCAAAAACCTAATTTTTCCTTCTGTCTGTAGGCCTTAGTTAGGTCTCTTGAGGCAACAAGAGTAGAATCATGCATGCCCAATGTGTATATGAAGTTTTATAGTCATTCGTTGTGAATTTATGCAGTGTTGTGCAGGAACTGGCTCACACGAGCTCATAAAAGTTGATTGGGCTTATCTTTTCTCCAATTCCACAGTCAGTGATAATCAGTTTGGTAGTTTGACATCAATCACAGTGAGAGTATTCACTGGCAAACACTATAAATCAGAAATTTTTTTCCCTGCATAGAGCTGGTTGTTACACATTTAAACACATTACTGATTTCATGTGATGCTTTTCTTTATGACATTCAAAAAATTCATTTAATGTTGAAGTCTTCTGGTTGTACAGTCATGGATCTAAGTCCTTGAGTTAGAAATGGCACAAACAGTTAGGCAAGGATCTCTCTATTTTCAATCATATAACTTTTCTGGTTTTAAGATAACATTTTCAACATCATGGAAGCTTTTCCCATTTAAGTGTTCACTAGGACAGTCATGACTATAACCTGGAATGTCACTGATTGTTGACACTGTGTAAGATGCACTACGGAGAGCATCTGAGTGGGAAAAACTGTTTCCAAATTGGATTTTGTATTGATTCCAGTTTCTTCTCAGAATTGCTTGAACCTGTTAATCAAAAAGAAACAGAAAGAACAAAAGCAATCCATTAGCTGAAATGAAGATATTGTATTTGAAGCACAATAAAATAGGTTTTGTAGACAAAACTTTTAAAAAAATTGATGCTAATTAGTGATTAATATTGCTTCATTTTCTTATTTAATTTAAAATATTAAGTTTGGTAAACCATCTTTACATAAGGAAATACATTACAATTACTCTAGATTCCATTAATACTTTTCATTCCATGCCTTGTCTTCAAAGCTTTAATCATGTACATATGTATATAGTTGTCAAATAGTTAATCTCACTTACAAAATTACATGCATAATATCTAGTTTTACATTAATGTCTTTATTAATAGATTGAGAAAGTAATTAGTGAAAATATAAAAGAAGGAAAAG